CCATCTACAGTAAAACCCCGTACTTCCCCGAGAGTTAGATGCGGTAATAATTCAGTTAGCGAATAATTAAACTTAGAAAAGAAAGTGGCTGTACCAGTCAGCTGTGCCATGAGAGATGCTCTAATTACGTAACGGAGATACAGAGATCTGCAGCGTGACACGTCACTGTGACGTTTACGTAACGGAGGAACTCCCGCGCACGCGAGGTCACGTTATGGTCAGGAGCATTGCGTCTGAGGTGCAAAAAACTAAAAACATCAGCTGTTGTTGCGAGATCTCCGAGATTATCTTCTTCAACCGGTGAAGTTTATGAGATAAGGCTCATCAAGCACGAGTGGGTTGAAAATTTCATTGTAGTATGAATAGCCCCCGGATTTCGTCCTTGTACACACCTGATGATGACCTCTTAGCAGGTAGAAACTACAGTAGTTGTGGAATACAACAATTTGAATGCCAAAATCAGGTATTTAATCCACTATGATAGAAAATGATTTCAAATGTAAAGTGGGTTTGTGTAAGTTATTATACGCGATGTTAAAGAAAATAGTATGCTGTTTTCTTCAATTTTGCATGTCAGGGCCTCCAAAAGGCTACTACCTATAAACCTCTTGATGATTTTGAGTTATGTTAGGCTAGGTTGTTTTGTTAACACTAATAATATTAAGCAAATTACATTTTCTCTTTTGACTTTTACATATTGTACTGATATTCTTTTCGTACTAGAATCTCGTGTATGAAAAAAATAAAATATTTTTAGTTCGGGTAAAATCCTAAATTTGCTAAATGAAAATATAATTAAGTAGATCAACAGTGCAGAAGTTAAAACATTTTGATACAGACTTAAGATTTACCTAAATGCAAAGAAGAATTTTATGACATTGATTAGGGCCTAATGAATAAATAAAACAAAAAACAAATCCTCCAAATAAAAACGTTTAAAAGAACACAAAGATACATTCCATAAAACACTCCAGTCTTCATAAATTATCAACACGCAACTAGCTGCTTATACTTAAGAAATATTTGGTTTTACGTTATAAATCAATTCAAATATTGTTACACAAGAGTTTTGCATGAAATACAGCTTGTATAGTCTCAGCCTAATATAAATTGTAAATTGACAAGTTTTCCTTCACATTTTGAACGGTGTTAGAGACGACTTCACTAATGCGGATTTCGTCAGCGGAAGAGATGAACTTTTGGATTGTTTCGTGAAGACTGTTGACCTTACTGCCGGGTCTGCTGTAACTCTAGGCTTTCTGTGTCATTCTTTGCAACACGTGACACTTTTTACTCTCTTGGAAAATTACTGTTTGTTTTAACAAACTCATACTCTTTGAATTTAATGTAAGATGCCAACTACAGCAATCCAATGGTCAATGAAGCTACGTAAATAGCACAGAGCATCGGTGATACCAACCGTTAAGGTCTCCAGCTTGAAATTATAATTCTGACTACAACTAGGTTTATTAACAGAGTGCTTTGACTAATCAATTTCTTAGTTAATTTTATTTGATTTAACAGTATAAGGATGTTGTCTCGTACAGTTCAAAGGTCCCTAATAGTCATCAACATGTCCCGGGAACAATCTGTCGTGTGTTCGGATTAAATTTTTTCACGGATAAGAACAATCTACTTGTATATTGTTCCTAGTTAAATCTCATCGATTTAAATAGTACTTAAAATATCGAAGGTGCTACTTAGATTAACAGGTCCACCATTAATTCTACTTAATTCAAGTCCATCATTCATCGTACTTTCATCACTCGTAAAGATTTATGAGTATTTGAGTTAGAAAATGGCAAGATAACCAGAGAGAGACGAAAAAGGTTGATTTAGGTTTTTGCCTTTTATTGACTACTGTTTTTCTACACATTTAATCAACTTATTTGCACTAAAAGGTTAATGCAGGTTTAATGCAGAATAAAAGGTTTGGGTTGTACATTAGTAGCTGATTAATAGTTATAACAAATACTGTAACATAAATTATTTCAAAAACCTTGAAGAAAAATGAAATATTTATTTAATTTTATGTAACTTTTTTATATGTAACTTTTTTATAACCTAGTTGCAGTATAATTTTAAAATGTAAGCGTCTTTAAAAATCTTCAAAAGGATAAGCCTTATTATGAAATCTCCCAGTATGCTAATTTTAAAACAATCAAAATTAATAAACAACCAGTATAAATAGTTGAGCTATTTATTTCTTCCAAAAAGGCTTGTTCCAAAAAGGCAAATTGGTTGATTAAGATGGTGTGTTAAATTTTCGGAATCATTTCTTAAGCTATCATGCTGGATTTTTTGACTAAATAAATAAAAACTGTGTTTACAATGTTCATAAAGTAATTTTTTTCTCGGACAAATTCTTAGGGAAGCTATTTTAATGTCGGTTTTCATAATTGATTAAGTCTGAAATAGTAATTTTGAATCTGCAAATATATATATCGTATGTAATTCAGTAGCATGCTACTGTCCAAAGATGTAGACGTAACAAAATCTTTATTCAAGTATACTTACATTCACCCTTTATCCGTTTTTCTTTATCTATTTTTATCCGTTTTTGTCCGTTATGTCCGTCCGGATCTTTATTCGTTTTTACTTACGAAAATTAGCTATACCAATAGAAAGGCTAACAGTACAAAGCCAACTACGTTGTAATTGTGTCAGAATGCTTAACTTTCAAAGATTGTAAAAGGCATAAAGCTACAAATAAAAATGTCTTTTAAATACAATTGCACTTCTCACCATTGTTCACACACTGACGTACGTTCACATGTGTGCGTACGTACGCGTATGTATGTTGGTATGCGTATGGAGTGCAGCTACGTAACTTGAGCAGGACCTTGTTACGTCACAATCATGTACCTACTGACCCACTGTACGTTATCCCCCCTTCTCCCCCCTACATAACAATGTCTGACATGCATCATCGGAAAATTGAGGTGACAGATTGACTTTTTGTGACGTCAAACAATTCGATTGGTTCACCATTGTTCTCACATAAACCTTTGGAGGTATTCAACGTATTCAACGTTCCTTTGGTTCATTAGATTGGTTGATTAATTTATTTGGCCTAATTCCTAATATATTTGACGGAAGGATAAAAAATAGCATTCCTACTTTGCACAACTCTTGGACGTTATCAGCTGTTTCGAAATACTATTTTGATGAAAGAGAATACTGTTTTGTAGTGTACAACGGTACAACTCACTAACTTCGGTCATATAGGTTCAAAGTTATACTTTAGATTTCATAGGTAACCTATCAATTTGTTTAGTTATAGCACTGTCAACACACATGAAAAATCAATAAGTTTTAACACATATTCAAGGAAAGAATAAAACAATATATGGCAGAGGTACGGTAAAACGTGTCATTCACCATTGGGTCTGGTGATGATTGGAGTGTCAAATCGAAATCGATCACCACTTAACATCTTTTATATGTATTTACCATCTTGTGAGTTTACAGTTTAACAGTTTAAGTGTAAATAATGCTTGAAGAGTGATATTAGACGTATTAATATTTACTTTCTGTATATTTAATTATAGGTACAATCAAGAAGCTATCCAGGTAAAAATAAAAGAGTTATCTTATCAAAGTACACTATTTAAAAGGTTGTAGCTTTAATAGTTGCTTCAACAGGTCTATGTAATTTTATTATTAGTGTCATTAAAGATCTTATAAAGTAGTGAATGGTAAATAATATTAGTTTACAGACGATAAATCGATTTCAATAACGTATTGAAGTAATATAACTTGTGTCCATCAAGTAACTCAATAAAAAAGTCCTTAGAAACTTTTTCAAAATAAATATAACACATAATCCAAACTGCTATTAATTTGAATTCACTTACATCTCACAATTAAAGATATGAGTCAATTACGTACCGTTACTATTTTCTATGTGCATCTTTCTCTTAGTCATTGTTGTGACTGATATGGTCTATGGAGCTTGCAGACCACTTCATGGTCGGTCTACGCGAGAAATGTCTACCATTCTACGGAACATTGAACATTGACCAGCTAAGTGATCTAACAACATGGTTGGTTTGTCATACTCCGAATCAACTGAGCGTTTCAACAATGTATGTTAATAGACGAGTGAAATGTATGTTTAAGGATTACAAAACTTATATTAGGCTTGGTTCACACTTAGGCCTTAGTCTTTTGTTCAAAATAACGTCTCATTTACTTGGAAATAAAGTTAGGAGTGAGTGAATGGTTACAACAATCATGTGGGCGTTATGATTTCCTAAACGTGCTCCTGTAGCATAGAAGTACGGTGCTTCAACTCTGGACCAATCATATCTCAATTCCAACCCCAAGTAAATGTGCAGGAATGAAACATATATACAATTGTGTAATGTCTTTTTCACCACACTATGATGTTTTTGGCTTTATTAAATACGTTAATTGGTGGCTGAAAGTTACGTTTTTCTGGCCATGCCAGCTGTCATTGTAATTTGGGGACCGAGCAGGTTTTTACAGGCCGGGGCCGCAAAATCAGCTGTCCGCTTACTTACTTAAAACATGAATGCATTTTAAATACACAATCAAAATTCATAGCATTTTAATAGAATTGTATTATTGTCACCGTTGCCTAGCAACTATTTATTTTTATTTTTGCTGATTCCTCAAATTATTTCTTTACATAACCTTAAAGTTGTAGTTGTGTTGACTATCAGTGTGCATTATTATAGTGGTGAATAGTGGTAATAGGGTATAGTGTGGTGAAAAATAGCGTTCGTACCACGGACCGAAATGGTTTTGAAGCTCTCGATTGATTTAAGTTCTCGACTTCGTCACGTACTTAAAAACTATCTCGAGCCGGCAAAACCTCATTTTCGGCCCTAGGTACGAAATATACTATTAATACTGTATCGTGCTAAAAATTGTGATGAGAAACTGCAATCAAACTTCGTATATTATTTTGCGTGTTTAGGTTGCCTGTAGTTAAAAAATAAATCAGTTTGTAATGTGGGCAATTTTTGTTTCAGAAACATCATGGGGTCCTGGCATACAATAGTTATAGGACTTACCTTTGCCTGCTCGGCAATCTCTCTGCCACAGAACTACTACAACTATAACTACAATTACGATGACTACGAGAGAGGAAGGGTCGCATACATTAGGGTGAGTCGATGATTCACTAACATTAAAATAGTCTTTCGTAAAATGGACGTGATACAAAAGAAGTAATAACAAACAAAATACCCCCGCCGCAGCAAACCTGCCGACTAAGCGAATTTCCATTTGTGTGAATTGATTTTCAGTTAAATATATTTTAATAACATTAGGTTTAACGAGTACCTAGGTTTGCTGCTACAAGGAAACTAATAAAGTGTGTTTTTGAGTAAAATATTGATAGCTTAGTACAAAATAAATAAATTTGCCAAGTTTGATCAAAATATATTCATAAACAAGCAAACTACAACATTTGACAATATTCTCCATAAGAATAACACAGGAATATTAAATTTACAATTTTTTTAATTTTCTCCGTTACTTATAATCGAACAAAAATACTTTTATATACTAAATTATTTGTTTTTTTAAGCTCTTTAAAAAGGTCTAAAGAGAAATTGGGAAATTTTGTGTTTTGAGGGTCAAAAGTGAGAAAAACCAATTTTTACCCCATAAAACCCCCCGTAAAGCCCCGTTCCCATGGTCCGATCGTGCTGGTTCGCGAACTCATTCAAGTTTATCCTGCTTTACACCTTTAAACCAAATTTCATCAAAATCGGACAAAAATTACTCAAGTTATCGCGTTCACGGACGTATATATATATATATATATACCCCCGCCGCAGCAAACCTGCCGACTAGGCGAATTTCCATTTGTCTGAATTGATTTTCAGTTAAATATATTTTAATAACATTAGGTTTAACGAGTACCTAGGTTTGCTGCTACAAGGAAACTAATATAGTGTGTTTTTGAGTAAAATATTGATAGCTTAGTACAAAATAAATAAATTTGCCAAGTTTGATCAAAATATATTCATAAACAATCAAACTACAACATTTGACAATATTCTCCATAAGAATAACATGGGAATTTTAAATTTACAATTTTTTTAATTTTCTCCGTTACTAATAATCGAACAAAAATACTTTTATATACTAAATTATTTGTTTTTTTAAGCTCTTTAAAAAGGTCTAAAGATAAATTGGGAAATTTTGTGTTTTGAGGGTCAAAAGTGAGAAAAACCAATTTTTACCCCATACAACCCCCCGTAAAGCCCCGTTCCCATGGTCCGATCGTGCTGGTTCGCGAACTCATTCAAGTTTATCCTGCTTTACACCTTTAAACCAAATTTCATCAAAATCGGACAAAAATTACTCAAGTTATCGCGTTCACGGACGTATATATATATATATATATATATATATATATATATATATGTATGTATGTCTATATATATATACATATATAAAAATTTGAACGTATAGTGTTTTTGGCCTCTGGGGACATCAAAATGAAAAAGTAAATCGGTCCCGGGTCTAGGTCTTACCGTGCCACCTACGGTAATAGCTACTTCCCTATAGGGAAATTCGCTAACAACATTAATATTGAAACTCAGTAATGCAAGATAATACAGAAAATATACAAAGTGATTATCAATTAATTTAATCCATGATTTTGCTACGTTGATAAAGATAATTCCCTAATTGTAACACAGATTTATATATGATATACAGAAAATAAAATCTTGACCAACGAACTGTTGTTATATCTTCCTTCTTAAAAAAAACCTAATCAAGTCTAATTAATCAAGTGCCAACATACTGTAATGCCTTACCCACATCTTGAACATTATGAATACGTTTACTCTTTTACCCTCCCTTACGTTTACACTTTTTCTAACAACCCTGTGATGTCCCAGAGGCTGGAGGAGGACGTGGAGAGGACGGCGCGGTCTGGCAGAGCGGCGGACGCCCTCGTCCTAGAGGACCGGTTAGAGGACTCCATCCTGGAGCACGCCAGAGACGATGTCGCCAGGGACTCCCAAGACCCTGCCAGAGCAGCCAGGGACCTCAGGGAGTTACAGGACGAGTGGAGGAGGGATAAGCGTGCCGTCGACTTCATCTCCGGCCTCGTCGGCTCTAGCAGCGGGGGAGTAAGTAGTTTATTCATTTTTCAAAATCATTTAGGGATGTAATTATTTTGCCATCCTCAATTAAATGATGTCAAAATCACTTCAATTTATGTTTTGTTTGGTAAGACGGCGCCTCAGTCAGTATTGCTACGACTTACGAATCCATCTCACCGATGTTTTGGGATATCATCCTGGTAACTGCGACTAAAATTCTCAGTACAGATCCTTCTTTTACCATACCGGCTCACCTTTTGATTTGAGGAATACATTCCACACACAACCCGAAGGCCTATTTTGACGGGAAAAAGCAAAACCTCGATGGATTTTCCTATAATATCTTAACTTAAACTTAACTTAACGTTTTTCCATATAAAAAATAAATTATTCAAAAGATTTAAGACCCAACTAAAATAATGAATCCTTTTTTAAATTCTATATTTAGCATTCGTCATACATTTAGAAAAAATGACTTAAACGTGTGTTAACTGATGAACGAGGTTAAATAACGCAATCAAGCATAGTAAAAAACATAAGGTGACAGTGTGAGAAATAAAGTGCACTTCAGAAATTTTACGAACAGTTTTGAAGGATACAAATTTCTTCCAACTTAGGATCACACATCAGTTTTAGTAAAAGCATTTGAAATCTAAAATAATTGTATAAGGTCATACATTTTGGGTAGAACTATGTCTTAGTGTAGGCCTAACTGTAGCGGTGTTTGAATTTTACAGTCGTATCCAGGGAATGTAGCTCTGGTAGTCGCACATTATAATGACTGTTTGGGAAAATAAGGTGTTAAATGGCACTAAAGTAAGATTAACACCAGGTTTTATAGGTCCCGGTTCTGTCGAAAGAAGTTAAATAGTTTCGAGGCCGTTGAACAATAAACTCATCCAGGAAAACTACGGAATGTCGTGAACCGACAGTGATCAGGGGTCAAATATTTTCAAACCAACTAAGTCCTAATAATATAAGAATAAATAAAATTGCCAAAATTTATACCAGTAATGAAATTATTTTCTCAATATTACCAAAGATTCACACATGATCGAAGAACAGGAACAATAATAATTTTATTCACCATTGTTTATCTGAAATGTATTATTTTATAACTGGAGATAATTTACACTTTTTGAGTTGTTTATTACACGTATATGGCCTTGCTTTCATTATTCAAGATCAAAATTTATGACAAAAAAGCAACACTTGGGCCAAGGCCGTCTGGAATTTCACTCCTTTAGTTTTTGTAAATACTGAATCTACTCTTGATTGGCGCGTTATTAAACCCACAATTTTATGTGATTGGCTTATAAGCAGTGGAATTCTTAATACCGCGTTTTTTTAGAGTAATAGGTTTGGTTTTATTTCACCCTTATGTGTAGCTTAGTAATTTGATTGGTAATTAATTTACTGACATATGTAGTAGCATGGCAACTTAGATAGCCAAGATCCATTTAAATGTTCTTTTGTAAGTTTGTACGCACCTTTTGCATGTTTTAAATGGTTTATATGAGTCTATTATGTGTATTTAGGCTCAATTTTCAAGAATTGCGTTATTTCGTTTATCTTGTACAATATAATGTATCCGGGATGGTCTAAGTCAATAAAATAACCAGTTTGATCAACTTTCACAATCCCCATATAAACTAGAAGTTCTCCTCAAAGGTTTTAATTATTTAAATTTTTATCTTTAGAATACGTAACTAATCACAAATCACCTCGGTTCAATAAGGTAAAATGCAAAAAAAAGCAAAAAAAACACCAGGACAAAAAACTACATAACCATAGAAGACAAACGTATCATCCAATAGACTCGCTACTCGCCTCCATGATTAGCGGTACATACAGTTACCTACAGCTGTTATCACACCGCTGCTGACGTTATCACAAGGTCACACACATGGTAGGGAGGGGGGGAGGTCACAGACCTAAGACCCGTCTGTCCGGTCTGTAGTTATGAAACGAGCACAGCCACTTTCATTGCTCCTATTCGAACGATATGCTTTTGCAACTTATACCTGGGCGCCCACAAAAACATGTAAATACATAGAGCTGCTGCTTGAACAATATTGATGTCTTTGGTTTTGTTAAGTAAGAGTTTGCAAAATTATAACTGATTTGGCGTTGATATCCGTAGATATTTGACACGAAGTTAAGTTTGCACATAGCTGCACATTTGCCTGACGATGTATACGAAAATTAGAACAAACTAAAATTAAAATAGTTTATTCAGCTAAAAATAAACAAAATAATTTCAAGTTTCATTTAATAAGTCAGAAACGGTATGAACCGTAAACATAAACAAAAATGACGCCATTGGCCTGAATAATATAAAACTAGTGGCCTGTAGGGGCCATAGCCCCTAATTTGGACTACAATAAAAAATACCATATATAAAAAGACAAATATTCGAAATATATTTTTAAAATTATCAATTTTATGTTACTTAAAATTAACAGTGTTTCTTGATTTATATCTTGGTTTTCCTTCCGTTGGAGTCGTATATTAGTTGCTTCTGATGTGTCAATGAAATACAATTGTAAAATAATGATTAAATCAATAACACAACATATTAACAAATGGAAACGTGCACACGGTTTGGCCTGAGGACAAACCGTGGACATATTTTCTAGTTTAAAATTGAGGATTTGTTTTGTAATCTTACGAATTCTGTTATGGTTTCCATTTTGAGAACCAAATGTAAAGGTTAACATTATTATTAATTATTATGAAGGCAACTCCCCATTTTGCGGTAGTAAGTCAGAAATATATCTATGAATTTGTCCCTGAATTTTAAGACAGTAAGGCCCATTTCCCGGAATCTCTTTTTGTGTAGCGGAAAGTGACGTAAAAGCCATTGAACTGTTGTATTGCCTTATGTTTTTTATGAAGTTCGAATCATGAAAAAACAGTTCTTTTAGTTTGTCATTTACTTGTGGTTGTGGCATGTCCATTGTGGCAACATGCGTTGAAATGTCCGTTTGTGGCCTCCTCTGCGAAGTGAAATGCGCCACAATGCATGCAAGTGCTATAAGAGGGCCTAGATTGTGAGAAACAACACTCAACTAATTTTCCAGCGTTCTTCTAAAGACAGGTTGTAAAACAGCTTCTGGATTTCTTTCACACCCTACATGACGTTCTCTTTTGCATTTCTTAAGTCTGTTGAATTCCTGGACTGGACACTCTTCCACGTCTTGCAGGTCTTCCCCTACCCTGTCTAGTTACTTCACTCATTATAAAAACGGAAAACAAAAACACAATTCATTTTTAAACATTATTTACCAACATTGACTTTCGGAATAAATGTAAACATTGCAAATAAATGAGTAACAGCTGATAGAATGCAGACGTTTTTCAGTCACCATGCATTTCTTATAGTGGATATTATACGTTATATCTCATTTTCTGGTAACTTTATGGGACTTCCGGGACTTCTGATATTTTTCCCGAGTCCCTGGGGTCAAGACCTTTAATTTAAGACCCCTCCCACTTTTCTGCGACTTACCAGACGTCCACAATTTTCTGGTAAAAATTTGGTCTAACAGAATTATATATATCTAGATTAAAATATGCTTTGAATGTTATTGACAGTCCCGTTTAAATTATTACACAGAAATGTATAATAATACAATTTTATAATCTATACTATAAAATGAGTAACGTTTGCGCATAATCATTTCAAAAACGGCTCCTATGATTTCCTCTAAACTCTTAGGAATATCTTAGTTTCAGGCTAAAAACAATATCCATGCTAGCCAAGGTTCTGGAAAAATGCATGTTTCACTAAAAATTTTAAATGGAATTTTTAAATTTAACATTGTTGGTATTATTATTTCAATGCAACTGTCAAAAAACGTCCAAAACACATCCAGTGACGTCATTCTTTTATGTTTTTGTTTTTGATTCATACAGTTTCTGTTCTAATATCCGTGGACGATCCCATTGTTGCGACGTACCGCGATCCAAAGACTCTATATAGCTTGTCGCAACGAGAGAGCGCATAATATTTGCAACTCGCAACAATGCTGGTCAACAGCTGATGTTTAATTATCACGAGTTTGATATTGAACTTTATTGTAGATATTTTCAATATAGATTGTTGTCTGTATGGAAATGATTGTTAATTAAATTAAGAACTAGGATTGCTTTCATAGCAGTGAAAGTCAGTTGAGCTGAGTGATCATGTTTCATGGGTTTTAATAAAGCAATAAATGAAAAGTTGTTTATAAATATAATACTGAATACAAATGTTCCCACACATGTGAGCTGTGTCATTATGTATGGATAAAGGTTGTACCTAGTGTATGTGTATAACTTGATAAGACTTGTTTATTTCTTAGACATGGATATGACATGGATTTAATATCACATTTTTGCATTATAGTGGTAAACTGTAATATTTAGATATATTAGATAGATTATATTATATTATATAGATGTATTTACTTCGACCTGATTTTAATTACTCATTTGTTAATAGCTTATGATAAATAATTATGTAGTGTAACTATCCTACTAATATTATAAATGAGAAAGTTTGGATGGATGGATGTATGGATGTATGGATTTATGTTTGTGACAAGTGAACGCGAAAAATACTGGTCGGATTGGGCTGAAATTTGGCATGATGATAGCTCACATTCCCGATTAACATATAGGCATATTCTTATTTCAAAAATCCTTTCGGGCTCCGCCCCAGTGGCTCTGGAGTTTCCCATGTTAACCTTATGAGAAATGAAATTATTGAATCTTAACAGCTGTTTCAATTAAACAAGTTGGTTCTGTTCTGTGATGTTCAATAGCATTAAAGTTACAAAAATTACCAACAGGGTGCAGCACTATTATTTCTTTTCCATTTATGACAACAGCTAATTTGCAACCAAAAGGTGAGTGAGCGTAGCGAACGAACTTCAACCTGGAGGCGAGTTAGCGTAGCGAACGAGCTAACCTGAAGGCAAGTGAGCGCAGCGAACGAGCTCCAACCTAAAGGTGAGTGAGCGTAGCGAACGAGCTCCAACCTAAAGGTGAGTGAGCGTAGCGAACGAGCTCCAACCTAAAGGTGAGTGAGCGTAGCGAACAAATTTCAACCAGGACGTGATTAAGCCATGCGAACGAGATAATCTTGAAAATTAAGAAGTTAAACGGGGCAAAGCCCGCGGGTTACAGCTAGTTATTTATAAGATTTAAAAAATGAGAACTAGAAAATTATGAAACTAATGGAAAATAAAGTTTTCTAGGTAGAATTACAACATAAGCCAAAAAGCCTTCAGATAGATTCTAAATCTGTCCCACAATGCAATTCTTAAAAAAATTCTTATTTGTTGTTATTGACAGCATTGTCACTTACTTAATATATTTGTCGGGTTTTCCACCGAAAACGCCACCAGCAAAACGTCTTTTACCATCTTAGATATTTTACCGTAGTTAACACCGACCTTAAAAGTAACTTACAAACTGAGTAAACACGCATGAATCATTACGTGCATCAACAGTTTTTAATGTGCGCAAATTGTTAATTAAACATCCATGTCATTCATTATAGAAAACATTACAGTGTTAATCGTTCTTGAGTATCCTTAAAATTTAGGTGCTCAAATTAAACTAAACGTACCTGGGGGCCGATCTTTGCTTGGAGAAACCCATAAGTATACTCTGGGAGCAGTCTTTGGTCAATGTAAAATGTCGAGCCAGCGATTCGTCGACACTCCTGCTTAAAGATGATCGGTTCATCATATTGCTCGGCCATAATATCTTAAAATAATTTTTCTACTTTCATCCTTTGATCGGCGACTTGGCCGAGGCTCTGAGGCATTTGGTGAGATGTATGAGCTGGTTGGAACAGGGGCGGTTGTAGACAAAGTGGAAAAATTCGTTTACTGGCGAAAATCTATAAATTTTCGCTTCGGAGGTCTTCCGCGTTCCATTCCTTGAAAATTAACCTTGAAAACATTTAACACTGACATGTACCTAATATATCAAACAAAATATAACTATTCTTAAAAACGGTTAGTAAACTAAACCAATATATATTTTGTTTACACGTCAAATCAAATTACAACAATAAATCAGCTGTTTTTGTTAACTACAGCTACAAAAAGGTTATGACGATAACATGGGTACCTTCAAGGGCTGGACGGAAACTGGATTTTTCCCAGCCTTGTGACCAACTCCTATAGTATAGGATATCTTTTGTGGCCAAATATGCCATGTTAAAAAAATTAAATATCCTCGGACGAAAAATAAGGTTTGTCCGTACACGCGTTTGTTTTAGATTTGAAGTATAGGATTTGAGCTGCTAAACAAATTGTCTACTAAACCTAGTTGTTCTGGCCAGCTAGGTATTGTATAGTGGAACGGTTAAGTAGCAATTTGAATGTCGGTTGCAGAATCGTTTAAGGACAAGGCCAATCCGCGTTCTGACTGTTGATATCCAATCGTTACAAGGACGATGCATTTCTTTTCATAGACATTAGTGGGTTGAAATTAGGTTCCTTGAAATTGACAATCGTTTGCCAAAACAGATTGAAATGATTCAGTACAATTTTGAACGTTACAAATAATTAAAGTGGATGTTAAATCAAAATTACTCACATTCATAAAATAGTAAATACTAGTAATAAATAACTCAGAAGCTCTGAAAGTTGGAATCGCTGTTATGAATAATTCTCTCTGCTATGTTAGTATAACATATTTTATTATGAGTTAGCATCTCGCTGTACTCCAGTAATGAATTAAAATCCTCTTTGGTTTCAAGGTTTGTTTATAACCTGCAGTTATATTTATTAATTTATTTTCTTTCGTTGGTGTTCACGATTTTCGTTGTTATTTCTTAGTAACCCATAAGGCCACTGTTAACAGATTTTGACTTTCAATTTCATTTTTTCGGATAGGATAGGGTAGGATAGGATAGGGTAGGATAGGATAGGGTAGGATAGGGTAGGATAGGGTAGTATAGGATAGGATGGTATAGGATATTGGACCTAGGATTGATATTGTAGTATAGGATATGATAGGAGAGGATAGGGTATGATATGGTAGGATAGGATAGGATAGGATAGGGTAGGATATGATAGGATAGGATAGTATAGGATATGATAGGATAGGATAGAATTGGCTAGGATATGATAGGATAGGATTCTTTCTCTTCCGAGTGACCTCTAACCTCGACCTTCTGTTCCAGGGCGGACACGCGGACGGTGGAGGTGGCGGGTCGGGTTCCGACTCAGGATCCATCCTCAACCTTGTGGGGCCTCTCCTAGGGTCCAGTAGTGGGGTAAGTCTTCAATTCTCACCTCCATGTACCCCAGTAGTATAGTGTACGCTCTGCACCTTGCCTCGGTTGTGACTCTATGTTGTCCCCCAGGGCAGTAGCGGCGGCGGAGGTGACGATGGGTCAGGAGGTGGTGGAGGAGGTTCTGGGTCAGGGTCAATCCTGAACCTGGTCGGACCCCTACTAGGATCTAGCAGTGGCGGAGGGGTAAGTCCTTAAACCTTGGAGCTTGTTATTAGAGATTATAAGCTTTTTTCATAGGACAGTATGTGTAGTGTAGCTTGTAAAGATGTACAATGTAGAAGTATGGTTGTGCTTTGGGTATTTAGAGTACTGTAGACATGTTGATTTTTGAGCTTTAGGTAAAAGGATCTACTTGTTTCAATATAATTGTGTAATTCACTTTGGTTTTTGCAAACAATGTGTTTATCACACATTGTATATTTCTAAATGCTACTGGTAAATGTAAACTACTTTTGCAAACCTTTGAAATTTTGGTCAGCAAAACTTAATTCTCTCATTTTTAAATAAAAACACGCGTATTAATGTGACTAATCATTTTTAAACTTCATATTCATATTTCATAGATTCATATTTCCATAATTAAGTTGTAATTTTATAATATAAAACTTAACAGTTTTTAATGGTTCCAAATTTAATTAGGCATAAACGGGGTTTTAATATCAGTGAATACGAAAAACCTTTTGAGTCATAGATCCTATAATCAGGAGAGTTTTCAACTGAGATAGAGTTAGGCCTACTACTAAACAAATAAGGTAGTTGAATTATTCATCCTTTTTTTATGTAAACACTCATTAAGTAGCTAAAACCTGTGATTTGAAATTGATTTTACCCTTTAAGGTAATTCTGATCTAAAAAAATTACGTAACGGAACAGCAGAAAAACAACAGCTTATAAAACTATACCTATTTCAATGGACAGCTTATCTTGGCTTGATTAGTTGTGTAGCTATTGTAGTGATATATAAATAGTAATTCTGCTGATGTTGTAGTGCTTATAAAAATAAAGTAGTGTGTAGCCAGTAGAGGGCAGTAGTAGTGGTGTACTATGTAGCTGTGCGGTGCTAGGGCGGCGGCGGAGGTGACGGTGAAGGAAGCAGTGCAGGAGGCTCGGACTCCGGGTCAATCCTGAACCTCGTCGGACCTCTGCTGGGGTCCAGCAGTGGAGGCGGTGGTGCGGTAAGTCTGTAGTCTCAGTAGTAGCATAGACCAATATAATATAGACTGTCAATTGAAGGTTCCGTGTTGTGCCGCTAGAGCGTGCTCAGTGTTTGATTCGCTGCATTCGTCGGCTCCTCGCCGTATGCTACCGCACAATTTTTATTTCAGTACCAGTTTTTCGATACAGACGAAATGAGAGCATTCAATTGGCTGTCATGGCGTGACGTCACTCTTGTAGTTGTCTGTTGAGATTTACCTCATCTACGAATAACATAGTGTATTTATGTATTCATTTTGTATATATAAAGGTGGAGTGTACAGTAAAAAAGGTTGATTTAGGGTTTTAATTAGATTTACCTTACACAACGTTCATCTTGGCAAAAATACGTCAATGATCAAATACGACGCTGTATTTATGCAAATATGTATTTATGCAAGGCGTTAAAAAAATGCAAAAAACAAATGTGTATCTTAATTTAACCCTTCCACTAATAGTGTATATATATATATCTTATGATTGTGTAAATATGGAATAATTATATACAATAGTATGCAATACAGTATTATGAATTGCCTCGCTTTATCTAAGTTGAGTATCTTAGACATATTTTAACTCTTCCAATACTTATGCTTATTCAAACAACTAATGCAGTACTAAAGTAACTTGCTTTGAAGCTCTACATTTTGCCTTGTAGTAGATTGGCTGTACTTAACCAGTACAATACTAGCTTTGTAGTTCTGTAGTATAGATGTCGCATACTAGTATCCAGTGTCTAGGGAGGTGACGGAGAGGCCAGTGCAGGAGGTTCAGACTCTGGGTCTATCCTCAATCTCGTGGGACCTCTCCTAGGAAGCAGCAGTGGCGGAGGGGTATGTAGTGTGTAGGAGCATCTGTGGTTGTGAACTTCATAGCTTGGTAGAAGACTAAGTATAACCTTGGCTTGTATGCATTTTCTGAGGCTCATTAAAATTTTCAAGCAAACAAGATAATAGGAATTGTTTGCCATGAAACAGACATTTTCCTTAACAACATTCATCATTGAATTATTGAGAAGTAATAATAAACCCTTTAAATTTTATCAAATGCCAATGAAGTTTAAAAAAGAAAAACAAATTTATTTTACCAGATTAATTTAGATTTTCATAATAATCGTAGACACTTAGGTCTAAAATGTATTCAAACTTGTACATTAGTTGATAATAAACCTAATAATTTGTCTATAAATTTACCTAATCTTCTATTGGACTCAGATTTGAAATATTGTACCAATAACTTTATTGACAGGAAATGTGAAAATTTCATTGAAATTGTGATCAGATATTTTTTTATATACTGTCACTAGTAAGTAACTACATTTTGTATTTTCTCATATGATTTGTCAATGTTACATGATAAAACAGCTTTGGAAACTTTTCTTCCCGATTTAAAATATCTAAAGCGATGTTTATGCTTTTCTTTGAATTTATTCAGTTAGTCCAAAAACCAAGTTAGTCCTCTAAACTATATCTTTACATTCTATAACGCTTGTACCAGTTTGAAGGAGGAAGTTGGGTTGCGGGGTAGGTAGAGCTAACTAGACAGTGTGTCAGGGTAGCGGTGGTGGTGAAGGCTCGGGCGATGGAGAGCCTGAAGGAGCCCCAGGGGGTTCGAACTCCGGGGCCATCCTGGGCCTCCTAGGACCTCTCCTGGGCAGTAGCAGCGGCGGAGGAGGTGCAGGTGGCGAGGGCTCGGATGAAGGATCTGGCGATGGAGCCCCAGGAGGGTCAAACTCCGGGGCCATCTTGGGCCTACTAGGGCCTCTTTTGGGGAGCAGCAGTGGTGGGGGAGGAAAAGGAGGAGGCGGTGCCGAAGGCTCAGATGAAGGCTCAGGCGATGGAGCCCCAGGAGGGTCGAACTCCGGGGCCATCCTAGGCTTGCTAGGGCCTCTACTGGGCAGTAGCAGCGGAGGGGGTGGCGGCGGAGGTGAAGAGGACGGGGTATGTATAGCAAACCCCCCTGGGTTAACCACCAGTTTGTAACATATCCAAAGAAAGCAAAAATGTAAATAGCGAAATAGGTTTTAGCAATTCTTGAATATAAAAATAATGCATTATTAGCATAAACCTGATTAAAAAAAGTAATTTACACAAGTTTCGTTTTGGTGTAGCACATCCAAAATTTAGCATGAATGAAATATATTATTAAAATTACCAAACTATGAGTGAAATTACACGCGTTTTTAAAATTTCCAATTTATTTGGAGATTTAAAATTAATGACTAAAAACTTAATAGTGATAATTATAAATAAATACCATTTTATTAATTATCTTAAATTAAAGCATTTTTCACTTTATTGTTCATTAGCATTTTATATTTGTACTTGTTGTATTTTTATAAACACCTTTTATAATATAAAAATTCTGTTTAATTACTTCAATTTAATTGTTATAGAATACAAATTTATGATTCCTTCCATGATTATGAATATATAAAATAGTTTATTCTGTTTCTCAATTGCATGATGATTTCCAAGCATAGAATCCTTAGATATTAACCTACTTGGAAGTGCTAAGCTAAAAATTGTGTCTTTTTGAGCTGACTCACAAGGTATGAAAATAATTATATTATAGTCTAAGTAATGGTAGTGCGCTAAATAAATTGAGTGCTTTCGCAAATAATAGTATGAAACCTTTCAGAATGTATGTAGGCCTATCACCAAAAATGTTAAAGACGTGTATAGACTTTTTGCAAGAATTTCAAACTTGAACTAATACAACTATATTTCTAAAGAACTTTTAAAGTTTTAAAATCAAGTAAAAGAGAACGAATTTTGGTTTATGTCCTAATATTTAAAGGGACTTATATGTTTAGCACTTTTTTGTTTATCTACTTGTATTTGTTTTATTTTTAATTGAACTTCATTAATTTTTAATTTTAAAAATAAAGAATCCTACTTTCCTAATAACTGTGTAAAACATAATTTGTCATGATCACTCTATGCCGCAAGTGGGATGTCGCAACATAGAATGTCAGGGGTTTAAATCACGGATTGTGACATCTTCATGTAATGTGCCATCTTGTTGATGAGAGGGCACCGTTAGTGTTTTAACTTGCCATTTCAAAGTCCATGGTAATACGTAACCTCTAAATGTCCTGCCACTTTCATAACTAACAAGCTAAGAGACAGACATGATCGTTCATGAGTTGTAATAGATGATTGTTCTTAAAAACATTTTTCGAGTACCGTACTAAAGTTGAGTATAATTTCTTTTCAAACATTGTTCGAGTGCATTTTAACAAGTTTAATATATAAAAACCATTATGGTCTTTACCTACGACCATTTTGTTTCAGTAGAAGTTGTTTCAGTTCAGTTCTTAGAATTGAAAAGTATCTCATAACAGCATTGTTTACTTTCATAACAGCATAGTTTTACTCATAACAACACGGGTAACGGACCAATGAGGTTGAAGGATTAAGAGAGAAAAAGTAAAATTGTGATGCTTCGAACATCAAGTCAGCTGTTCAAACCAATTTAATTGTTGAGTGGTGCAATAATTAGTGTTTGGTACAATGTTTCGTTGCATCACTGTCAGTGACAATGAGAGGTTATAAACGAAAAAAATAACCTCTCTTAGAAGTTATGAGTAGTGATTTTTTGTATTTAAACACTGTCGTAGGTAAAGTAGTGTACGCAACTCGCGTAAATAGTGTTAACGACACTCGTAGAAGTTTTTAAGGCACTTGCCAAGGCTTGTACCATAAATTTCATACTCGTGTCGTTAACACTATCTTTACGCAATCGTTACGTAAACTACTATTAACGTACAGTAGGATAATTTACCATGTACACGATTAAATTAATTCCTCATTAATTCCATTGACAACTAAGTTTATTTCTTTACACTTATTTTAAGTACAATACTTGTTAAACACTGCAATGGTATTGTTGTTGTCTTACCTATATTTTTAGTTTTAAATATTTATCCTATATATTTAAAACATTTTGGTTTTTCTTTTCTGAGTTCGTATAATTTTATATATTTTGGTCTAAGAACCATCAGTGAAACACCGTCTTTCATTTAAGCTATAAGTTATTCAAATCGGACGAGTTTCAAGCAAACACAAGGTGAACAACAAAGGGTTTTTTACGATTCAAAAATCAAAAATCATAAATTTAATAATTTATCGGATATTTTATTTTAACGCTGTGGAGCAGCATGGGTCCTCTAGTATTGTTTTTAAAAAGGACAAAGATTGGGAAAAACATTATACAGTGCTTTTATTTAATTTTATTTGAGGTTTATTGACAAGGAATTGGTGAGTTTATCATATAAAATCACATTGTGTAAATTTGTTCAGTTTCACTCAGTATAATTTTTATTACAAATTAAATTAATTACAAACCTAACCAATTAAACTACTAAATGACAAGTTAGCTAGTTAAATTGTAGCTTTGTTAACCACATATATTGTATGTGTATTTGCGTATTTGGAACATCACTATTTACAACAATTAATAATTAAGTTATTTATATTTCAGTTCAAATTGTTAATTAGTTGCATCCTTTCACTTAAGTTCGTCCAATGAAACTCATAGGTTCTATAGCCTTAAAGTTACTTAAGTGAATATACATTGTGATCAACTACACCCAATTTATATAATGTAAATATTTATGTACTGTAAAGTCAATATTTATGTACTGTAATGTAAATATTTCATGTAAATATTTCTTATTAACCATGTAAATACAGTATTTAAGTTTAAGTGAGTGTTTCATGTATTTACTCAGGGACCTGTAAAAAGTAGGCTTTAACAGTGTTGTCAATAACAATGTTTGAATTATGTGCATATTTATTGTAATGTGTATATACTGTATGTACATTTGGTGGATCTCAGGCTAGTGGTGGGTCAGACTCAGGCGCCATTTTGAACCTGCTCGGCCCCCTTATTAGCTCCAGCAGTGCGGGGGTATGTGTGTGCTTAAATAATGCTTTGCATGGTTGGTTGATTGCATGATATTGCGCACAACACTTTTATTAAAATTATATAAGGTTTGTCTTGCATTTTTGTTGTTGTTTATATTTTGAAATGTTTGTTTGTGTTTTAAGATATCTGTCACAGTACACCTACTTGATGTTAGGTTATGTCACACATTTTGGCACAATTTTTATGTCAATGTTTGTTTCAATAAATTTAACTACACACATTAACACTTCTTCTTTATTCACAGGCACAAAATTATTCAAATTTCACACGACAATATGATCACAAATCAATACATAATGAATGTTTCTTTATGTTTAAACTTTTTAACTAATGGTGTACAGTGTGTAGTAATAAACCTGTTTATTGTTTTTAACCATTGACTAATGGTCAAGGTGTTATCTAACTCTAAAAAATATCAATCTATATCTGCGTTGTATTCGGCTGGGCAGCCGAGTGGTTGTGTGCTCGCCTGGCAATCAATAGGTCACTGGTTCGATCCTGAGAAAAGTTAGTAGCTTTTTGATGGTTCGAAACTGGACCCAGCTGTTCCTGATCATTGGTCTTTAAATAAATTATCCTGGCTAATTAAACAGCTGATCTCAGTCAGTAACAAAGCTACACATGTCATCACCATCGATCTCTATGTAGTAATAATAGAGATCGATGGTCATCGCACACCATTCTACACACCCTTGACTCATATTTTGATTAAAATACGCACCTATCGGTCCACATCTCAATGATTGATTATTGATAATTATGTTAAGGAAGAATTCCCAAATTATATTCATCACTACACCAGCACCTTAATCAATAATTCTATTATTAGGAATTATTTTGAACTAATTAATTAAACCAGCAACTCAATCAGTCACAGTAAACAACCAGTCGATACCGGGAAGTGTTCGCTGTGCAAGCTATGTTCATATACTACCCAGGAGGCTTGATTGTTTAGCTTTTACAGAAGCCAGTACCTGTATCTGTGTCAAATGCCTCCAAGGTCAGTTATTACCAAAGACGCACGTTTCCTTGTTGCGTCAAACACGCGAACATCGTACTCGATGTCCAGTGGTGTTTGATGTGGTGAAATATATAATCATTAAAATAAATTTTCGTCCAAACATAGGAAGATTAATGCATAAGCTTATTGGTTACGCACTTCTATACCAGTATTGTGTACAAAAATGTTCTAAGACGGAAATACAAAAAAACCCTATTTAATTTTATATTTACCCCCTAACGTTTATATGACTCTGTCCCCATGGTCTGTACTGAATTTCGTTGGCAAAACCAGTTGCTTCAAAGTCTTTATTATTCTAACGAGTAAACATGTTGTTCATTATAAAAAATTCTAGAAAATAATAGATTTACCGTGTTTTAGAGTACAAAGACAAATTTTACTACCGAAAAACTGAAACCAGAAATTATCGTATGACTTTTCATACAAGCATATTTCCAATAGAAAAGAGGTTCATCCTAAAAAGATAGTACCTCTTTTATTTTCTATATGATCCTAAATTTTGAGACATGTCCCGAACCGTAGGGCCACTCTCACAACTAATCAAACTATTTTGAGGTTATGTCTTGTCCTTGAAAGATTTTTGTCTCCAGTTTTTCTTTGTGAATTAGTTAGTCGTCACCCAGGAGTCTTGTATTTTCTGTAAAAATTGTGTCTCCGTTTTCAAATAAATATATTACCGATGAAGAGTAGAAAAGGAAACGCCGGCCTTCTGGGTAGAAATCTCGAGCCATTTGACCTACTCTTTAAGTCCCCATCTTTCTCCACTAAAGTGATGATGACATGTCCAGGGTGCCGGTGGTGCTGGAGGTGATGCAGGGTCAGGCTCTGGCAGTATCCTCAGCTTGGTAGGACCACTCCTGGGCTCCAGCAGTGGCAGTAGTGGGGTAAGTGACGAGTCCCCTGGGGGTTTATTTAAATAATGTGATCGTAGACGTTTAACTCTAATAGATTAAAGTTAATAATGTGTTTTGCAATTAAAAACATCGGTGTTAGGTAGTATTTTAGAAATTCGGTATTTGGACGTTGGTAAAACTGTACTGTAGTACTGGTTTTATTAGTTTAGAAAAGTATTTACACAATGGTTATGGTATGGTAAAAAATCTTTTTTTCAGTGACATATTAAAAGAATCGGCAGACAATTTAGGAGTTTGAAAACCAACAGGTTTACAATGCCAACTCATAACTAACTCGTCGACAATAACTATAAATAAAGAGCTGAAAAATATTATACAGATATTTAGTGGTTTTCATGGTTTTATTTGGCCTAGACAAGCGTTGTAATCTTTACAATACGTGACATTGGACAGGTTGGATAATTTCCTACATTAAAACCTTATGTGATTAACCATACAAGGAATGCTTACAATATGTTTATAGTATGATATAACAGTTCACAATAAATGATTGAGTCTTAAGGTTGAGGTTAAACGTAATGGGTAATTAATAAAACATGTTATCTATATGTTTACCATAGCGAATTTAATAATTGTTTACTCTTAAAACCATACTAGTGTTGCCAATTTCAACTTATATAATGTGATCGTGTAGGGTGGAGGTGGTGGGGACGGCAGTTCAGCTGGTGGTAGCGACCTCAGCTCCATCTTGGGTCTCAGCAACAGTAGTGGGGGCGGCAGTGGGGGCAGCGGAGGCGGTGACCACGCTGGAGGCGGTGCAGGCATCGGTGGCGCCGTCAATGTAAGTTTATGTTTGCCATATTCTAAGTATTTAGATAAGCATTTGTGAAAATATTGTGTAAATTTTCTTTTTACAATCTATTACAGAATGATAACTACTTGTTTGCTTAAGAAGGCTTGAAAAACATTTTTATTTAAAACTCTCTATATTTCATTATTAAGTTACACAAACTTTTACTCTTTTACAAATCTTAAAAATTGTTTTTTAACCGGAAAGGTATGATGCTATTAGAAGTGGAGGTGTGAGAGATTAATTATTCAATAATGGAGGATTTGAGTTGGTAAATTTTTTTTACTTAAGTGAGGTTAATGCAATTAAGAGTAAATTTTAAAATATCGCTTTAATTGTAGAAATTTATTATTAGTGCAATGTTTTCATCGGCCAAAGTTAAAATAATGGCTTTAAACAAAACCTTAATATTTCCATCTCATTACATAATGGTAATTCTATGTGTTCTTGTACACATCATCTAATAGTTACTAAGGTTCATCATCATTATACCTGCGATGGTGTGAGCCTAAGCTGATGTTGGTAGTTTTAGCCTTTCGTCTTACAATTTCATCTTCGTTCTTTCATCTTCCTTACTTCATTGCTCTTCTCTCCCTCCTTCCTACAATTTCTTGCTTTTTCCACCTCCATCTACATTCTTTTACTCATCTACTCGCTCCCAATCAATTTAAAAGCTCCTTCTCTTGCCCTTAACAACCTGCTTTTCTCATTTATCTCATAATTCTTCCCAATCTCACTCATACCATCTCACCACTCATTTACCTCCTCTTAATTTTCCTCTCTCCTCCACTTTCCTTGTTATCTCTTTTCTATTTCCAAAATTAATATTTGACATCTTTAGCTCTAATAATGCTTTCCAACGATCTCATGCATGGGGCGAAGTGCGCCTTTCCTATTGCCTGATAATTCTCGAATTGAGCATGAAACAGATACCAATTCATCGATGTTTTGCCATTTCATTTTACCTGATTGGAGAGTTTTCTTCGTGGTTTTCGGCTAAATCCTCATTGCACGATCTAAGCGATCTTTGACTGATCGCTCGCATTCTGTGGGATATTTTCATTGGCAATCGTTTTCTTCTAACCTGCAAGCCTAATGGGTGGCGGACCTCAAACGAATCGAGACTAATGGATTTATAAACCTTTTTTAGGCAGTCAAATTTGGTTTCTTGCAAGACAAAATCCAACTTTTGCTTAGGGTAAGTTTTCACCAGTAATGCAATGTTGTAAGTAATCCAGAAGACTAGGTAAGTTTAGATAAGTATTTTGTGTGAGCCTACTACAGTTAAAGAAGTTTAACCGACTAAGTTTTGTTAATTTATCATTTGATACTTTTAATAAGTATGCAAAACATTTATAATTTTTACTTTCAGCAATTAGCGAACTAACACTTAACACTAACAAAAAAATAAATAAAAATTTAAGACAAATTGTATTTTAAAAATCTTGATTTCATGAGCTATTTTTAAACTGCACTGCCAAACAAACTGTCAAGAAGTTTTTGACAAATACAAATACTTCGCTACACTATTAGTTGTCCTAATAATCATAACATATCCTTATGTGTAAATATTTGATCATTACTATCAAGGGCCCAAAAGAAAGAAGGCCTGAGTCTTTTTCATTATTGCTTTTAATACCGATTATAAGGTAACTTTGTCTGGATGGAAATTGATGATTAATTGAGCGATTATTTTAATTATCTTAATGATTCTCCTAATTCCTCTCTACAATATTATGGTTTTACAATAAACTGACTGACAATAAACTCTTACAATAAACTGGTTTTACAAAAATATATAAATGTTTTATTTAGGTATATTTGTATGTTATAAAGGTATTTTAATACTTACTAAAATTAAAGATTTGATATCGAATAGAGCTATCAAAAATAAGTTTGTGTATCGGAAATAACATATAAAAAGTGGGATAACAAATTTTAGCCATGAAAAAGAATATTTTGAAACTAGATTGCTCTAGGGACAGTGCAAAATACCTACTTATCTTTTATTCGTGCGTTTCTTGTTACAGCTAAAGTTTGGAGTTTTGACGAAGATTCTGAATTCGCTCTCCGCGGCCTTGGCAGCCGCCAGCAACCCGACGCACGTTCCTATTGACCAACTCAAATATCCCGACCACTAACTTGTTTCCATGTCCTCCCTACCCTACCAATCCTAAACCACTTTCCAATTCACCCTTTTACTCCTCAACGCCTTTATACCCCCAACCAACAAACTGGTTGGAAACTGTCCCAATACTATCTCTTACAATCCTAAACTGTCCCAATAATATATCTTACAATAATAAACTGTCTCAATACTATCTCTTTCAATCCTAAACTGTAACCAATACTATCTATTACAATCCTAAACTGTCCCAATACTATCTATTACAATCCTAAACTGTCTCAATACTATCTCTTACAATCCAAAACTGTCTCAATACTATCCCTTCCAATCCTAAACTGTCCCAATACTATCCCTTCCAATCCTAAACTGTCCCAATACTATCTCTTACAATTCTAAACTGTCCCAACAATGTTTCTTACAATCCTAAACTGTCTCTATCCTATCCCTTCCAATCCTGTACTTCCTTCAAACTTTTATAAAAGCACAGGCATCTTACAAGCAAAAATCCTCAAAGCCAAAATGTTGTACTTTATCTTTCACAATTTATTTCGTAACTCTTCATTCTTCCTTAGCCTCAATTTCCTTCCATTTTCCTAATACCTTCCAACTATTTATTGTAGTAAATTATTGCAGACTATTGTATTATAATGACGCGCTCTTATTGTATTTTCATTATTGCTCAGAATTATTGTAATTAAGCTGGTTTTTTTACTTATCGTCGTCATTCATTTGTATATTACCATTGTATCAAAATCGCCATTTTTACGGTTAGAAATAAATATATTTTACGGTGTAGTCTGTTTATCGTATTATTTACCTGCAATATAAATCCAGTGACAAAACTACATTGACTATTTACATAGAATATTTGTTCATTACTTATACAGAACCACCCCGTTTTGACGAATTGATTTCCTACTTTTTCATGTTTCATTTTGTAGTAAAATACAGTAAGGACAATAAATCTCAAACAGGTACGTGGCTATTTTTGGTTTCAGAATGACAAATTACAACAAAAGAATTGAGACAAGCTGTAGTTTTGAATTTCAATAACATTAAACCTATGGAATCCTAAATAAAAAACTATCGTAAACAAGAAAAGGAATAATTTGTTCTAGCTCAAGAAGCTCCAATTTGAAGACTCTTAGACATGTGGTTATTATTGAGGAAATTTCTGCTTTCACTAAAAGCTGATGAGAAATTCAAGTTTAGACTTGGTTTCAAATTACATCTACCGTGTTTTTATTGCCTATTGTTCTAGTAACAATCACCTATTGAGGCTTGAATCGTATACTTGTACTTTGTTATGCAATAGATGGGTGTTAAAGTATGCATGATGCTCTTCAGTTATATTTAACATTTTACTATGGTGCAGGATTAACAGTTTAATGAATATATAAATGATCTAATTAAGAAAGTCTTTAGACGTTAACAAAATTAATTAGTTATTCTTGTCTTTGCAACGAGCAAACAGTTTTCATTGAATGAAAGTTTATGCAGAAATTTATAATCCAAATCCTCCGGTTGAATCAACCTACATTGTTTAACATCTTATGCGACATGCTATAACACAAGCTTCATTGCATAATTTGCTGAACAGTCTGCAGCCCACACCCTCACCGTAACTTGTTCCACCCATGGGTGACCAGGATGGCGTGGGAGGAGCCGAGAAGGAAGTCGCAACAGTGACTCAGAAGGTTTCAAAGGGCAAAGGTCACGCAATCGTTGCCAAACGTCCCAGAGAAAGTTGAAAGTGATTTCAAGGTCAAGCTGTCCCTCCCGCACAGCCTCAAGGTCACAGGATGCTGAGGACTCTTGTGTTTGGGCACTTTCTTCTGTCACGAAGAAGCCGGGTTAGATAACCACTGAATGGTTAGTTTTTTCATTGACTTTGGATGCTTCTAGCAATCTTTCATCATCGATCTCTATTAAATAGAGATCGATGTCTTTCATTCAGGTTGAAACATTGCAACGGGATATTTACTTGATAATTTTTGAATCACGAAATAAAAGAAAATTTTTACAAGATATGTATCATTATTTGTGTTTTCTTCCCCCAAATGCAGCAGGAACTCTTGATGGCGAATGCTACACAAGTTGTATATCAAAGCTCTACTGGGTTGTCTAACTTAAGGAGACTCAAATTCTTAGAGTAATTTTAATAAGAATACTGGGCTTGCCAATAATGCATTGATTTAGGTTTTCATCAAATACATGGGAGGGAATTTTGTTGGAATACAATTTTTTTTATTTCTTGACTTAATGCGATGAGGAAAATGATTTCTGCAATCTCACATGTGCAGTAAAGTATGTCTGACACAGTGTTGTGCATGATATACCGTTTTATAAATAATAAAAGGTAAGGACCACAGAGCACCTTTTTCTAGAGGAAATACGACACTTTTCAATAAATTAATTACTTTACAAGGTCAATAACCAAAAATAAGCGTTTAATTAATTCTTCAGGCTCAAGTACTCACACTTAACAGTCCGAAGGATAAATTGAAAACTAGTTGTATTGTTATACTAAGGGTTTTGTTGTCATGTTTGAATTGGAAATAGAATATTGGATGGAATGGATTATATTGATTACAGTTATAAACATGGAATGGGCAAAGACAGATAAGTTGACACGTTGGTATTTCAGTAAGTTGAAAAGTAAAAAGTATTGTAAAGTAATGTCTAAAGGTCCACATTATATGTTTTGTGTGGTTTTGTTGTAAAGGCACACGTGTTGTACGGTTAAATTGGTATGTACCGTTGGAAGAATAAATAAAATGGATAAAATGGAACAATGGGGAATTGAAGAGAAACTTTGTGCCTTCTAAGGCTAATTACCTATTGGGTATTCACAATAGCCATAAGGTGAAATCAGTCAAAGGAAGTGTATCAAATACCTTGACCTTTTAACACAACTTTCGTAATTTTGTTGTCAAAATCATGTTCACTGGGCCACAAATTCCTTCCATGCTGAATCAAAGCTACTTCTGCTCACCGCCATCATAACTTATTCAAGATCCTAATGGAATATACTTTTCCTACAGTTACCTGAGAAAGTGGGCTTCCTTGGAATGATTATAGCACGCAATAGTATATTTTGTACCTAGGGCCGAAAATGAGGTTTTGCCGGCTCGAGATAGTTTTAAAGTTCCAGACGAAGTCGAGAACTTAAATCGATCGAGAGCTGCAAAACCATTTCGGTCCGTGGTACGAACGCTATTTTTCACCACACTTTACCCTATTACTGTACCACTATTCACCACTATAATAATGCACACTGATAGTCAACACAACTACAACTTTAAGGTTATGAGAAGAAATAATTTGAGGAATCAGCAAAAATAAAAATAAATAGTTGCTAGGCAACGTTGACAATGACACAATTCTATTGCAATAAATGCATTCATGTTTTAAGTAAGTAAGCGGACAGCTGATTTTGCGGCCCCGGCCTGTAAAAACCTGCTCGGTCCCCAAATTACGATGACAGCTGGCATGGCCAGCAAAACGTAACTTTCAGCCACCAATTAACTTATGTAATACAGCCAAAAACATCATAGTGTGGTGAAATAGTATATTTTGTACCTAGGGCCGAAAATGAGGTTTTGCCGGCTCGAGATAGTTTTTAAGTTCCAGACGAAGTCGAGAACTTAAATCGATCGAGAGCTGCAAAACCATTTCGGTCCGTGGTACGAACGCTATTTTTCACCACACTTTACCCTATTACTGTACCACTATTCACCACTAAAATAATGCACACTGAGAGTCAACACAACTACAACTTTAAGGTTATGAGAAGAAAAAATTTGAGGAATCAGCAAAAATAAAAATAAATAGTTGCTAGGCGACGGTGACAATAACACAATTCTATTGCAATGCTATGGATTTTGATTGTGTATTTAAAATGCATTCATGTTTTAAGTAAGTAAGCGGACAGCTGATTTTGCGGCCCCGGCCTGTAAAAACCTGCTCGGTCCCCAAATTACGATGACAGCAATTAACGTATGTAATACAGCCAAAAACATTATAGTGTGGTGAAAAGTATCTAATTGCCACATTTACTTTATTTTGCCGCACTCCAGTATATCAACCAAACAACACAAAACAGTGTAATTTTATTAGGCACGTTTTACGTGAATGGTTGAAAATAAGTTGGTAACACCTTATTAGGACTACGATCAGGCTGGTGCAGTGTTATCCATTTCGTTCAACGCTTGGATTTATCCTAACCTAAAAGCGTGTTGTTTAGTGTTTGAACGATTTTTATGTATATGCTATAGTTTATATTACCTGTAGGAAAAGTCATAATGTATAACACGAGGGCAAAGTGCCACTTCGCACACAAATAACTACCAAGTTTAATTAGTTTTAGGTTTGTTTTACAATTTCGCTCAGCTGTGAATGTCAGGAAGGTCATAGAAGGTCCTTGATTATATCTAAATCTGACAATCACCGTCTTGTTACAAAGTATTACCACTTGATAACAAAATTATCTCACGACTTCACCCAGGAGAAAGGACGGAAGAAATGATAACGCTGACAGTCCCGTCACCACGGAGTCCTATCAGATCTCGGGTCTAACAACTGCTGAACTGTTCCTATGGAGAAATTGGGCTCAGGACAGGGAAATGTCACGTTCTGACGTCATCTCTTCAGTCGGCTACACTAAAAATGTTTAATCCACATTGATGAAAGCATAGAACAAGTTTTCATTTCTTTGCAAAGAAAACTTTTGTCAATACCAAATTCTCTGTCTATAAGGTTTCCTCAATCAATTTGCTTGTGTTTTTCTGTTAATATAGTTTAATTTAAGCTACTCGGGCTTTTTCCTGTCAATGGACTGTAATGAGTTTAGTACATTACAGTGAACAGAGCGAGAAATAGTTTCCAAACCAAAACTTAAATGAGCTCAAGCTGTCTTAAGCTTTTCATGTGTTGGTCTGGTTATTATATTAAAAAATCTATCCAGCCCAATCAATCACCTTGAAAAAGTACATAATACATCAAACACTTGCTCATCCATCATTAGAGATGTCCGAGGTAAAGTTTCACTCTTTTAGGAAGTTAATTACAATACTGCAGTTTCAATTTTGTTAAAACCCTTACCGATAAAGTTCAATTAAAGTTTCTATTAAAAACAAAATGGATAATATATCTGTAAAATGTGCAAACAAACTATACCATACATTCAACTAGTTCTTACATTAAAAAAAGCATCTTATAGCATTTTGAACCAGTACTCCACCTCTCACAAGCAGATTTTATCGCAATGGAGATTGGGCGTTTCGTTGTGTAAGTCTTGGTAATAACGGTTGAATTGTAGGTGTTTGGTAGGTAATTGCCCTGCGAGGCACATCGAGCCAGTGAGGGGAACGGTACACACACACATTCACACACAGACACACTCACACACTCGCGCACTGGAGCATTGAGTGAGTGAGAAAGTAATGTTGCACTTCCCGGTGAGTGAGTGGTCACTATGAACACGTACTCACCAACAGCACACGCCTGGCGTGGCGAATCCGTAACGTTCACTTCCATCCGGGTATCACTGGAGCCTCGTCCGGTTATTGTGATTGTAGTGGAAGAGTTATGATAACCAGATCCGGTTGACGACGAAAAGTGATTTAAGGGGCAACCTGTATAATTACTGAATTTTGAGAGGAATAAATAATCTGGGAGGTTAGATAATACCTTTTATTTCGAGCACCATTCGTCCTAATAACATACTGTACAAAAACACAATGTACAAAGTACAAAGTATTGTGACGGGATATAGAGAAACAAATATTTAAATAACC